TTGCACATGGGCAATAGACTGCACTAGTGATTGTACAAATATGTATTGTATACACTGTACAATGTATACTAGGAGGCTAGTTACTGACCTAACAGTCCAATGCCACAGGAGACGACGATAACCGGCTCCTTATTCCAGGCATTCTTCAGGAAGGCTCCGATCGCTGCAGACAAACACAGATTAAACTCCACAGATTAAATTTACTCCACAGATTAAACTCCACTGACAACCTACAGTCAGCTAACTTTAGCCACCCATAGCAACACATCCAAGGTCACGTTTTTCGTTTTATATCCAAAGGTTATCATCTTTAAAGTCAGTCTGAGGCCTAGGTAACGTAGCGTTTAATGTCTTAAAGTATCATTAATGCTATCTGGAGGTTGTTATTAAAGCTAATTTAACCGGGTAGATGAAGAAAAGATGATTATATTCACATACCCGCCATGTTGTCTGGTGTAGTTTTCAACCGAGCGGGTGCTCATGGGAAATGTAGTAACTCAAAAACGGACGTATAATTCCTGCGCCCGTCGCACAAAAACATTAGTTTATCGATACGTGGGAGAGGAACTGCACTTTCTAAGCTTTACGTTTAATTTCAGCCCGATAATAATGTTAGTACCCGCTGTTAGATAACCCGACTGTAAAGCAGCGACCACAGCGACCTCAACAACCGACCGTCGGTAACGTTAACAGCTGCTCAGCGACCCACTGACTCTTTGGACGTTTCATTCATAAATGTAAGTACTGGCTAGGTTTGCCAAGTGTGGTCGTCCCTCACTGACGATAACAGAGATTTATCTTTAAACATGTGCATGTAATAGTTGTCGTTGTCAACTATAAATCCAAGCGCACTGTTTAAACTGGATATAGACACATATATGTAAGTTATACAGTGCACATAAGCACCTAGTGCATGTATATGAAGTTGGTCAATTACATAAATCATTCAGTATTTATTCCAGCCCTCTTTGCACTTCTCACCCTTGTACTGCTGTATTCTTTTTGCTACGATTGGTTAAACAATTTGACTTGTAAAGGGGCATTGTTTCACCTACTTGTATGTACAGAATAGTTACATGTTTATTTTCCTTGTAAAGAGTTCTTGGAAATCCTTGTGTATACACATATTTGGCCGATAAAGCTGATTCTGATATTTGAAAATACCCATCACAAGTTACCATAGTTGAAAGTTAAGTCTTCAGCTTTCTACGCTTTGTGACCAGCAGGCAAAAGTAGTTTTTATTTGATAAATTCCTTAAAATGGTTAAAATATGTCCATCTGAAGTGTTGTGAATTTGTACTCAAACATAGTGTATGTGCATACAATATTTTATGTAAAAAAAAAAAGCTTTTATAATAACACAGAATCGTCTCTCTCTTCCAGATGATGGAGGATTTCTCTGGTTTGGCTCTGCCCCCTTTGTTTGGAGGACACATCCTGGAGGCAGAGCTGGAACCAGGCGGTGTGGAGCTGGGACCAGGAGAGGTAATGTTAGTGATCGTGGTAATGGTAATGTTGATGTGAGTGGGAACACCTAGTCAGTGTCACTAAGCCAGTCAATAATATTACCAGTGTAACATCAAGACAAAACATAAAAGCAATACAAGGCAGTATCAAACGACATTAAAATATAATTAAAAACACAGACAGCCAAACAGAAAACGGAAACAACAGTGTTGTTCTGCAGGTTGAGCTGGGGCCCGGAGGCAGCGAGCTGCTGGAGAGTACAGCACAAGAGGACGAAGAGAGAAGAGCTCTTGATAAGAGGAAATATCTGGCTCTGAGCAGGAGGTGTAAAGAAATTGAACAGGTGTGTGCAAGCTTGCATATGCATATCCATTTTGCACACTTCCTGTTTGTCTATCTTGTGAAATATGGGTTATATTTGGGTTTGTTGTCATTTAGTTTCTGGTTTCTCACATCATTTCTAGGTGTGTTCTTGTATGTTTTTTTTTCAAACCAAATCTAATTTCATTCAGATCAGCTGATATTATTGTAGGTTTGAAAATGTAGAACAGGCTACTCTCTTTAGAAATGACCTTCGCAATATGGTTCTGGTTATTTTTAATTATGATACTTTATGTTTATTTGGTTACTTCACTGTTTTTACATGTCTATAAAGAAAAAATCTAATATTGGACTAATATTACCAAGTATGATGTTGTATCTGTAATCACTTCCAAATGTGTCTTTTTCAGGTGAATCAGAAGATTCTTGGTCGCCTTCACCAAGTACAAAGAATTACACGGCGCTTCAAGAAAGAGAGGCGGTACAGTAACTTTATTATCTTTACATTTTGTGAGACGTTTCCCACCTGATGGCTGATCTTCATATGTTCATTTCACAGGTTTCTCATGAAGACTTTAGACGCTCATGGGGACGACTACAGAAACGCTCAGCTCACTATACTTCTAGAGGTGAGAATTATATGGAAAGGTGGCTGTATGTGATGCAAAGAATGCACTCATTAGCCCAGGTTTTTAAAATAATTATCAAGCAGCTGTAATAATAATTCATAGTCTCATATTTTAAAATCAGTATCTGTCTGCACTGGCATAAAAACATCATTTTTTCAGTGTGAACCTATAATAATATTAGCGATAGCTCTTTACGTGAATGGGCCTAGTTGGCACAATAGCAATGGGATTAGTGTTTCAGACAAGTGACTGATGCATAATGGACCCACTGAGTGTTGTATTCATTTATTCATATATAGTAGTTGACAATGTATGGATTAAACCTTTCCTGGGGCCCTGGTGTGTACATAAACTAAAATAATTAAGGTCTTTAATCTGGGACCCTTCAACAAGACAGAGTCACAAGATTATATGATAATGTAGGACTTACTTTAGTTGATATTGTATTTGAGTGCAGATGACCAAAACACAATACAGACACAGTTCATCTGGGGCTTTGGGTCCTCTCAGGGTCCCAGGGCAGTTGCCCAGCCTGTCTGCTGATTTGTTTGATCCATCATAATAAATAAATGTACTAAAATAGCTAATTTGATTCCTTTTTACATACACCGGTTTCTGTTTCAGGATGAGGCTGGAGCCCATTTAGATCCTGCTGCTGGGGTGGAGGAGGACCGGCTCAACGGTGTGTCTGGTTCCACTTCATCTGCAGCTTTGCATCACGCTGCCGGACCAAAGAAGAGGAGGCACCGAATTCCACGACAAGACAAAGATAAAGACCAACAGGTAGGAAAAGAGCTCTGCTGGGCTGCTGTTCAAGTATTCAAGTGTATGAGCTCCATTGATCTGTTTCTTACAATCTACTCCTTGTCCTATTGTGTGTGCAGCTGTGGTTGTTAGGTCTCATTAATGTCAGATTTCAGATATCTGACAATGCAGAATAATTGATTTTCTGTTGACTTGAGTTTTTGCTTCTTTTCCCAGACAGAACCAGACGTCTCTGTGTTGGCAGAGACACAGTTTGGAGAAATGCCCAGCCCAACCTCTCTGTCTCACTGATTGTTGCGCTGCCCTGGATATGATGATGATGATGATGATGAAGGAGCACCCAGATTCTTAAACTGTTCAGTAGATACGCTGCCTCTGTTCAGCCAGGTTTTGCACTGTTTTTGTAGTTTTACTTGAACATTGTGAACAGATTAGATTCATGTAAGGTAAAAAAGTAATGATATTCACCAGGTACACATATACATTGGTTTTGTATATGTTATTTTCTTTTGCCATATTTTGTACTAACACATAATTATGACCAGTGTCAAACTGCACACTGTCATGGACAACCTTGTTTGGTAAATATCTAAATATCTGGCGACCCGGGTACAATTAATGTAAGGCAGTAAACGTGCCTTATTAATCGCTTTCATAATGCATTCCTGGATCAGAGATTTCAGTGTTTATGATTTTATATGAGTAAGCAGACTCATTATCAATATTAAAGTATTACAGACTGCTATTTATGACATGTTTTTTTTTTTTATTGGAAAGTTTTTTAAGTGTTCACATTTGCATCAACAATTTAAACTTGAACAACAACTGATGAAAAACTCAGTTGTGTGTTTTTGTTGTGTTTTTATCATGGTTATACTGTTAAATAGTAAAAGAAAATACTAACTTAAGGTCACGACTCAGGTCCTTTATATATACTGTTAATGGTCAGGTCACAGTCTGTCACAGAGGATGGAGTTCCCTCAGTTGTCATGGAGATCAGTGTCCTTCAAGTTTCCTGTCACCATCAACATCAAATCAATATCTCAATATCTAAGTAAAAATGTGATAAATAATAATAAAATATTATCCCTACACCGAGGTTAGGGGTTAATAAACTATATATAAATGCTTCGGGAAATAAACATTGGTGGATGTTTTGTGTCGATCATAATTCATCGGACGTCGGAGCCAATGGTTGGGCCCCGTTCCAACGGATGTCTGTCAGTGACAGGCGTGAGTTCCGACCAATCACAGCTCGTAGATCAGATTTAGGGCGGGGCTCCGACGCGGAGGTGGGACTTTAGCCACCGTCCATCTTCAGCTACATTACAGTGAGCGAGCTTGTCGAAAAGAAAACACAATTTGGAAGTAAAGAAGACTTTCTGGAAGTAGTTTTGGCTGTATTTGAAAAAAGACAAACGAAAGCCCATATCCTAGGTAAATGTCGTAAACAAGTATAAATCTAGATGCTCGTGTTGACCCAGTTTCCCTTTTTCCTAAATTTGGCTAAAAGGCTAGCTAAGCTGCTAGCTAGCATTTTATGCATTAGCTAGCCAGGCAGTTAGCCACATTAGCTTTGCAGGTTACCGATGAGAGCGGATTCTGTTATATTGTGCCTTTTCACAACGCAAAACCACCATATAAAAGCTCTGCTGGAGCCCAAAGTAATGCTGCATGAATATGACATCTGTCCATCAACATGCTCCGTGGTACTCGTGCTGAAGCGGGTCAGTTAGAAACCGAGCGAGGTGGACGAGCTAAGGGACTGGCTAGTATTAACGATAGCATGCTGTGTGGCTAGTGTTAGCTGACAACCATGTCAGTGGTGTTGGTAACATCCAGATCGAAGCTGTGGGGATAGATGAAGGTCCATGTAAAGGTGCTGCTTCACACGGTCCTTAAACTGTGGAGAGATTACGTTGTTTGTGCAGATAGCTGGAGTTTACGTCGGTTCAACTTGCAGGAAGCCGATGTGCTGATGGATCAGTGGAAAGGGATTCCTGTTTTGTTTGAACGATGTATTGATGCACTTTTTGTTTTTTGCACATAGCAAACTTGGTGACAGACGGAATGTGGACATTGTCGTAGTCAGAGCCATGGCTGACAAGAGAAAACTTCAAGGTAAGACTGTTGGTGAAACTAATGTTGCTCCGGATCCATCTCACTGTCCAGCCTGGTGTCTCTGCACAGACTCTGAACTTTTGCTGTTGCACGGATGTACGTACAGTGATGGTTGGACCACATGTTTTGTCTCCACAGGTGAGATCGATAGATGTTTGAAAAAAGTAGCTGAAGGTGTAGAACAGTTTGAAGACATTTGGCAAAAGGTAGGAGCTCTTTGCATCCGGCATTTGTGTGATACGCTGTTTAAAAGAAGAAAAGGATTGCAGTGAAATCTGAAGTGTCTCATTTATTTGTTTACATTTTAGCTCCACAATGCAGCCAATGCAAACCAGAAGGAGAAATATGAGGCTGACCTCAAGAAAGAGATTAAAAAACTACAGGTGAGACAAGTTATCAAACACATATTTCATTTTTCACGTCGTCCTTTATTTTATTTTTTGAATCCTCATTTATTCATAAAGCACATTTAAAAACAACCCTTGTTGACCTTGTTGAGTCCAGAGCAGGCAGAGGAGACCGTAATTAAGAGAAACCCAGTTAAAACAAAACACTGACAGATATGTACAGATACAAAAAAAAAACACATAGGCATTGTGCTCTTGATATTCAGTGTGTCTTTGAAATTGATAATATGTTTCAATATTTTCACCATGTGTCCTGTCCCCAGCGATTGAGAGATCAGATAAAAACATGGGTGGCCTCAAACGAGATCAAAGACAAAAGGCAGCTAGTCGAGAACCGCAAACTCATAGAGACGGTATGTTTCTCCTGGCCCTCCATCATTTCCTATTTTAGATTATATTTATCTCTGTTAAGTCTCAGCTCACCTAAACGGTCAACTAAACAGGGCGTATGTGATTGTTCTTTCCTTAGCAAATGGAGCGGTTCAAGGTGGTGGAACGGGAAACAAAAACAAAAGCCTACTCTAAAGAAGGCTTGGGGCTCGCTCAGAAAGTGGATCCAGCTCAGAGGGAAAAGGAGGAAACGGGGCAGTGGCTAACGGTAATACATCCACTATTATCGATAACCTGTTGTACATCTTGGTTGCTTGAATTTTTACTTGCTAACCGTTTCTACCTTGTGCCAAAAAATTGGATATTTAAAACAGAACAAACAACAACTTAAAACAATTTGACAAAAATCTGTTTCAGGAAGAAATTGTGATCAAATCTAT